TTGGCAGACTTAAAAATGAGACACAGATTCAGAGTTCCACATGAGGTTATTAATAAGCAAATAATTTAAATATTATGAACACAAACATTTGGTGAGCAGGTTACATTGTAACCCCATGTCCTAACAACACACTACGTGACAAGATTTGCAGTGATAAGCAATTTGGCTGTTTGCACCAAACAAAACACGACAGAAATTTAAATACAGCCATGCAGAAGCACAGAATAGTGCACTTACTGCACTCCAACAAAAGGGTAAGGTTTATAATCTAATTAATAGATATTAAACTTATTTAATGTAGATGCTGAATCACTGATATTAGTTGGCTTGCACTGAGTCACAGTTCTGAAGTTTAATTTAAAATGGTTACAATATTTTATTTTCAAGATCTGAGGTGAACTATCTGCTGCTGCTTTCATTAGTATGACAATAAACGTCATGTTAAATGGCATTCAAACTCAAATTAATAGCATTTAACACTGAATGAGGTGTTCATAAGGTGATCGTTGTCAAAGTTTTATGTTGTTCAGCTGCAAGAAATAGAAGCATTTCTAAAATATAAACTTTAGGTGTTGGTTAGAACAAAAACTTCTTATAATATGGAAAATATCCCTTCTATTGTGTGCCGTTGCTTTTATTCCTAACACGGTTTAAATCAGCCTTGGGGCTCGATAGTATGGCTCGCTCCTTTTGGTCCTCAGTCTGACAACCCGTACTTGCTTGTGTTTTGAGCCAGGAATGCAATAGCTAGTTCAACCACTGGTCATCAAACTTAATTAGTACCTGGTTTGTACTGTACTGTACGTTACGAAAAGGCATCAAAATGAACAAAAAGTAAAAAATGCTCCAGTATACTTCAACCAAATCCATTACAGCTTTTTATAAATGGCTTTAAGCTTGTTTTGTCTATGAATCAAAATAGGGTCATTTCCTCAAATACAAAATATTTGGCCTTAAGTACTTTGAACTTACACTGAAACAACTAAAAATAAGGTTAAGAATATTTTCAGTAGTCATGTCAAAGCAGTCAGTAAATAATCAGCATACTATCATCTCAAAATCATTGCAATAATTAGATGCTTTGTTTCCAGTGAAGACTTAGAGAAACTTGTTCATGCTTTTATCAGCAGCAGGGTGGATTACTGTAATGGACTTCTCACTGGCCTTCCCAAAATGACAGTCAGACAGTTGCAGCTCATCCAGAATGGTGCGGCCAGTATTCTGACCAGAATGAGGAAATCAGAGCACATCACACCTGTCCTCAGGTCTTTACTGGCTCCCAGTTACATTTAGAATAGACTTTAAAGTATTATTACTTGTCTATAAATCACTTAATGGCCTGTAGGACCTCAATACATTACAGATATACACACTGAATACAAACCTAAGAAATCACTCAGATCTTTAGGATCAAATAAACTAGAAATTTGGGCACATTCAATTCATGACCTAAAACCCATCTGTTTAGCTAATCTTACACTGTCTCTTTTATTTCTGTTTATGTAAAGCACGTAAAATTACCATTGTGTATGAAATATGTTACATAAATAAACTTGCCTTGGCTTTCTTTGAAAATAATCATCTGCTATAATGTATTTATTGTCTAAATATGTTTTTACATTATACTTATGTTTGACTAAGAACCTGCATGTAATTGCATCTGTAATGTATTTCTGTAATTAAATTTGAAAGTACACTATTGACCATTTCTTACACCTTAACCCAACCTTAAACGTACCCATACCCCCAAACCTGTCCCTCACCCTACCTGTATCCCACCTCAAGAGCACTAGAAGTGTTCTGCAATTCATTATCAACACAGCAAGTTCAGGCATGTATTAAGTTTATTTATAAGTTAAGGCCGCCAAATATATAGTGGGATAAAATGATTTATATGTACAGTAATCAACGTTTGTGGATCAAAACTGTTTTTCAAAAAGGCAAGAATGGGTGTTGTTTAATACTATTAGGACAATTAGTAAAGGTTTGGATCACCATTAATATTCATTATTGCAAAATCAAGAGAAACAATTAACAATCATTAAAAAATCATCATCCATTTTTTCCTAATAAGATTAAATCTCTAGCCTAAAGTGAGTTTCTACTTTTTAATGTAAATAATTTATGTACTTCATATTTGCCTGCATGTAATATGAATAATTTGCTTAGAAAAATGTATTTAATTAAAAATGAATCGAACAACATAATATTATTAAAGGGGTGGTCCACTTCGATATCATGTTTTAAACTTTAGTTGATGTTTAGTGTAACTGTGTTATCGTAAACAATATCTCTGAATGTAATATGCTCAAAGTTCAATGCAAAGAGAGACATTGGAAAGCCTACAGGCAAAGCCTACAGCGAAAGAAGTTTGGGGACTACAAAAAAATACATGCAGGTTACTGAGATCACAAGCACTTCAGGTTACACGTATTCACCACAAGCAGATAAGGGGTGTGGCCAGAGGTGCTGTAATGTTATAGCAGAGAAAGCTAAAATGCCATCCAAACGCTGCTATTTCCACAGAGCTTGTTCAGTTTCTGTATTTGGGCTTCCAAAGGACACAACACAAAGAGAGAAGTGCTTAATTTAATTTCCATTCTGTTGCAGAGAATTATAAAAAATATATTGATAGCATTTGACAATGGACAGAATCCAGAATCTTTCCCAGTTCAGTGCTGGATTCGGCTAAAAAATTCCTCCAACCGTCGAAGCTGTGGATTGTGAGCCACAACCTGTAAGTATTTTTATTTGTTAAAATTGATCTATTACATGCACAGTTTCAAGCGTTAGCGGTATGTTGTTGTGTGGACGTAAACAAGGATGTAAACATCGGGAAATGCTGTTTGCTGCCGCTTTCCGTGTTCTACATCTCAAATGACAAACTTGCGAAAGATATGTGAATGTTTTATATTGCTTACACATGTCTATTCCGAATATATGTGAAAGACACTTGACAGATAGTATTTTAGAGAGCAGGCAGTTCAGCTGTGTGCTCTTCATTTTCTGTCTGATTCAGGAAAACTGACGCGGCTGTATAGCTGACCAATCAGAGCATCTTGAGGCCCGGCCTTTCGGAGGAACTATGAAATATATCAGTCGTTTTCATGTTAGCTGAGCAGCTGTATATAATCAAAGTAAGGTGTATGAAAAATAACGTGATTTTCTACAAGTGAAGCATGGGCACACATTGCTTTGCATCTTATAAACACAACCAATCCTTAAAATTACACTCTGGACCACCCCTTTAATTTATTTTTGCTTTTAATTTTTCTATTACAGTTTTTTCCAATTGTTTACACACATTTTCTGAAAGCATGTCTCATATTGTCAGAACTCTACACACAAATCACAAAACACACACACATTGGGCAAAACTCTTCATTTCTTCTGCAAAATGAAACTCTACGATCAAAACAATGTGATTTCTTCTCAAAATGGTCTTTTGTTTTCAAATGACACACACAAGCCATCACATCAATAGACATTTATAAGATCAGTTTAACACTGATGTGCTCAACGTAAAACACTATGACCACTTCTTCTCCAATTTAACTTTCTGTAAGCCTTTTTCTGTTCAGTATTACACTTTACTACAGACAGTAGGCCTACAGAAGTGCATTGAAAAATATTTCAGAGTATTGTTTTTATACAAAACAAACAAATACCAAATATATTTGACTGTATTTTCCGCACAAATACACTGTCCACAGTGTTCATCACAGCCAACACAAAGTTGCAGATATCATAGTCTACATATACCATCAACAGAAGTATTTACTGAATACAGTCACAGTAAAAAAATAAATAAATAATAATAATAAAACAGCTATACTGCATCCTCTTTTCTGTTTTGGTCTGGTCTGGCCAAGCAGTGGGGGAAATGTCACTTTGCATGGCGAATCCAGCCTCGAAAAGCATCAACTGCTATAGCTTGGAGAAGGGGTATACGTGTGTGTGTGGATTTCGGTCGTACACTTTTCATCTCCAGACAGAAAAAAAAAATCCTCAATAGGTTTGAGAAATGGAGAATATGGAGGGGGAGATAAACATCTAAAAAACATGGGTGAGCAATAAACTAGTTGTGAACCAGATGAGCTCTGATTTCTAAATTGCAATTCTGTGTGACATGTGTTTACTCATGTGATAAGTTAGTATGCAAAGTAGGACAACTGACTTTACAATTGTGAATGACAGTGTGTTCCTTGTGAAAACAAAAGATTTTCTGCATGAAAATTGTGCAAAATGCAGAGAATTGTGTGTTGTGTTTTGAAAAAAGTGTGTTTTAAACCTGCAATTTGAGTGTAAAGCAGGAATTGTGCTTGTAGTTTAGCAGAACTGGTTCAGGGGGTTGGTGCATCAGTTACATGTACATGTACATAGTCATTGTGTCTGAAGTACAAGTAATTGTGTGTAAACAATTGGAAAAAACTGTAAACATCATGTTTTGAAGCTGTAGATGTGTGTCATGAGAGGAAAAGGCAATTTTAAGACAATGATAAAAAAATGACAACTTACTACTGGATATTACAATATTCAATCAGTAAGTAATACTTTTCACAGCTTAATTATATATTTTTTTCAGTTTTGGGATATGCAAAATACCCCCAAAATCTAGTGCAGTACGATTCAAATATTTTAGCCAATTTGGTTACTAATATTTGAAATCCCCAGCCATTCGCAAATTCTGCTAGCCATAAAATGATGCACATTATATCATTGTGGATACAGAATTCAAAAATCAAGTCATAGTTATCAACAAACTAAAGACTTTCCTCTGTTGTCAAATACTCAAATATCACTGAATGAACAGAAGTGCAAATAAAATTTGACTCTTGAATGAATTTGTTAATGATGCAGTGGTCGATGGTGACTAAATCCATTCCATGAGCCTCTAATATAAGCTGATTGTTAGTCAAGAAAAAAATCACATGGTGTCAAATTAAAAGAATGAAATATTCTGATGATGTTAGAAAGGTTTAGGGGACCTTCTGTCTTACCTTTGTGCTCCACAATTTCACAGTCCAGTCGAAAGAAGAGGTGACAAAGAGGTGTGAGAAATCGACCGGGCCCACAGCACTGTGACAACTGATGCCTGTCACCGGCCCCTGATGGCCCTCAAACATCTCACAGATGCCAGCTTTACTGCGGAGCAACACAAAGGGATGGTCAGAACAATATCGACCAACATTTATGGCTCTATAAAAGAACAGTATGTCATCTGCAATTGTCAAAAAAAAGAAATAGTGAATTTCAAGAAAGTGTGTGTTGAGTTTACTGAATCATCCATTCAATCGATTCGTTCAAAATGGCAGATTCATTTCAAAATGATGCAAATGACTCTTTTTATGAATTGATCATTGGATAATTGACTCAAATGATTTGTAAATTACAAGTATTAGAGGAATAAAACACTGCAGTGTTGCTTTGAGATGAATAAATGTCCAATTTCATGAACAAGACAGAGTAAAACAGACAATGTTAGGTAAAAAATGTAACTCAATCAGTATTAAATTCTTGTTTGTTGAACAGTTGTATACAGGAGCAGCACTAACCTGGGGCAAGTTAGGATCATTCTAAGGCCCCATTTACACTAATATATTTTAGCTTTAAAACGCATAAGTTTTGCTACGGTTACACCTTCCGTCCACACCACCCTGGAATTTATGAGCCCTGAAAACTGATCTTTTTGGAAACGCTGAAGTGGCTGTTTTGGTTATAAAGTGCTGTTGCTCTGTGTCAGTGTGGATCGGGGAAAATGGAGACATCTGAAAGGCGTGGCTGCAGACATCTTCCCATCTGATTGGGCAATCAGATAGGCAAATGTCTGCAGCCACGCCTTTTAGATGTCTCCATTTTCCCCGATCCACACTGACACAGAGCACAAATTTCA